ATTCTTCCTTGTAATTTTTGCTGCCATGTCAATGTCCACACCCTGGTGACACATGTACCTCACACTTCCAGCAGAAAGGAAAGGTATCCCGTCAAAAGGGAAAGATATTCCATTCCTTGCAGTCACTTGCCACTGTGTCCTTTTTTTTTCTTTGCCAGAATTTAGGATTTCCTCAACTGATTTTTCTGCGGAAAATAATACCATCTATAGGCTTATGCAGAAAAAAATTTTTACTCGGATTTTGCAAAAAAAGTCTGTAATCCTAATTTTGATCATGTTAATCTATATAATTTTCACACACCTATTTCAAATATTTTAAGTAATAAATATTCTAATTAAACAAAGCATTTGACTTATTTTAGTAAGCATTGCGTGATATGATTCATCAAGAATTTTCTATTTAAATCTTGCTTACTGACACTTTTGTCGTAGCTGGCCAAAAAGTGAACAATGTTGAATTTTAAATTGTAGGCCTTGCATTAGCACTTACCAAATTCCACTTCCTTATAAAAACATCTCCATCCAGTACAAGAATCTTTCTTGAAGTCTTCGAAGGCACGTATTGCTTCATCCTTGTTGTCGAAAACAAGTATTTTATTTCCATTTTCAACATCTATATCGTCTGTCGGCATGTTCGGGAAATTGGGAGTTGGTTCCCGCCAAATTTTAAAATTTTTCCGCTAATTTCCCCAAAGCCATCTCTGAAAGAGGCTTCGGCCTCATTTTCGTTTGAATAACGTCATCGTGTCCTCAACTTCTCTATGATCTAGTGCCTACCGTTGCACAGACCCAATACTTCTAGTTTGGGGTCTGGAACTCAGGCTAAATTTACGTGGCTGTTTGCATATTACGTCAATAGCTGTAGTGCTATATGAGGAGGTTTTTTTGGTGTGACTAAGCCTGACTCTTAGCGCTAAAATTACAGTGTGCCCTGTGTACTCGTGTGCATGTGATTCTGATTGTCGCTGGTTGCAGTCTGGGATCCGACATGGATAAGTTTAATATTCAAAAGCTGAGTGGCAAAGCCAACTGGACAGTGTGGAGATTACAAATCATTTCCAACTTGCAGTATCATGGCTTTGAGGAGATAGCTTGAAAACTGACTGGTAGCTTGAAAATGTCGGAAGATTTGCCAGCAGATGCGAGTGCAGAAGATAAGAAGAGTCACACGGAAAAACTGAGGCTGTACAAAAGAGCGAATGGCTTTGCTATTACTCTTATTACTTCAAATGTGGATGATGTGGTATTACAGTTAATTCTTATGTTGGGAACTGCCAGGGAAATGTGGGTCAAACTAGAAACTGCATATGAACAAAAGTCTGAACAAAGACTGGAACACTTGTATTTACAACTTCTAGAATACAAGATGGAGGCAGGTGATTCTGTTGCAACGCATGTTTCAAAGTTACAGAAACTCTGAATGGAGCTGAATGAAGAATCATGGAGAGTGGATAAATGTAGACTCCCAGGTACTTTGTTAATAATGCGAATACTGTCATCTTTCATCAAAAACCTGAAAAATTATCTCTTAAAGTCGAATAGATATACTTATTTGAACCCAATTATGAACATTATCATTAAACATATATTACCACCATGCATCTCACTATTGTGTTTTTAGTATAACCAATTAACATATCTCATTATACTAACCCATATTATCTTGATATTCCTCCTTTTTATTTTTCATTCACATTCTTCTTTTGAAATCGAACACCTACACCTATAAACGTCCAATCGGGCATATGACCTAGATAGCTCCTTGTGAGTTCTTTTCATATGTCCGACAGCAAACATACCAAACTTTAAACTATCTACTGTTTGTAGTTTTTCTTTTTTGTAAAAAATAATTGTTATTTGTGGTTCAAGTATTAAATAGAAATGTAGTAGTTAATTATTGCTGTGAATGAAATGTTTTGAGTTTGAGTTTTTGAGTACTGAGTACTTTGCCAAATGAATATTTTGAGTTTCCCACGACTTGGGAATCTATTCCTAGAAATGAAAGGACAGTTGAATATCTGCTTGAACGACTCACAATGGTTGAAACCCGCTTGTCAAGAATAAATGAAACCACAACTTTTTGCAGTAATGTGTCTGCTCTTGTTGGTAAGAAACCACAAAAAGTGAAATACAACAATGGTAGTTCTTTGAAGCACAAAAAGGACATGAGTAGAGTAAAATGTTATGGGTGTAAAGAGTTTGGACATTTTAAGAATAAGTGGGGGGGCACTCTGCACATAGACATACGGGGGGGGGGGGGAAAGTCCAAGAAATTTAAAGGCCACCCAAAAATATCAACTCATTTTCAATAGGACCCAAAAATATCAGTTTTACTTATATCTTGTACCCAAAAATATCACAAATTGGAATTTTGGGTGAGATAATATGACATAGCTGTAATTTATAAGATCTGCAATTCAAAAAAGCCGTAAATAGTTGCAGTTGCCATTACCACACATGGAGCAAATGTTCAATTTGGATATTCACTACCCAAAAATATCAGTGTTTCTAAATTTGATACCTAGAAATATCAGAATTGTATCTACTATTTTCGCAGGACCCAAAAATATCATTTCTGACAAATATTTAACCCTAAAATATCACTTTTGGCAAACATTTGACCCAAAAATATCGGACTGACCCCCCCCCATGTCCCCCCCCCGTATGTTTGTGTGCCAAGTGCCCCCCCTGGGAAGTGCCCCAATGTTAAATCTGCACCTGTAAGATCTAATGCCAGTAGTTCTGCATTGTTTGGTGAGATGTTGTTGACATCGGTGCCTGCTGATGGGATATGGATAGCAGACTCAGGGGCCACACAGCACATGACAAAATCAAAGGACTATTTTGTGAATTATACAAGCTTTAATACACCAAAACCTGTGACCTTGGGAAACAAAGGTGTCATGATGGCGTATGGTGAAGGTGACATTGAAGTGGAATCCTTTGTAAATGGTGAGTGTCTCAGTCATACACTAAAGAAGGTGTGGTATACCCCAGATGTAGTCAAAAATCTGTTCTCAGTTCCAGCTGCAGCTGACAAAGGCATTTAATATCATCTTGATAGATTTCAGTGTTCACTAATAAAAGAAAACACCACTCTGGTTGTTGGTGAAAGACACTTGCGTGCAGTTTTGCCAAGTAAGCCAGTGAAGGTGTTAGTTGCAGAAAAAGCAGAAAAACTTCAGGTATGGCATGAACGCTTTGGTCATCAAAACAAACAATATGTTGAAAAGTATCTAAGGAAACATAAATTCAACTACATCAAAGATGATGAATTTTGTGAAGGTTGTGTTCTGGGCAAGTATCACAGAAAAAGCTTTGGTACCAGACCAATTGTGGCAAAAAAGCCAGGGGATTTAATTCATGCTGATGTGTGTGGTACAATGGACCATTATAGTTTCAGTGGCTACAGATACTATGTTTTATTCAAAGATGACTTTTCAAAATACAGAAGTGTTAATTTTTTGAAAAGGAAAAGTGAAGTAGTGGATAAATTCAAAATATTCCTAGCAGAAGCAAACGTTTTGCGACATACTATTAAAGAGTTATTAACAGATGGTGATGGAGAATTTGATAACAAGGAATTTAAAAAGGTGACTGAAGAAAACGGAATTCAGCATCGTTTCAGTATGCCGTATACACCTGAACAAAATGGATCAGTAGAAAGGGAAAATCGAACACTAGTTTAAGCAGCACGTTCAATGCTTCACAGTAAAGAAGATTTACCAAGAAAATTATGGGCTGAAACTGTGAATACAGCAACTTATATTATTAATCGCCAAGACCTGCCAAGTCAAGTAAAGAAACGCCTTATGAACTGTGGTCTGGAAAAAACATTTCCATTGATCACTTGAAGATATTTGGGACTGAATGTTATGCATATATTCCAAAACAAAGGAGACAAAAATTTGACCCCAAAGCTCAAAAAGGCTTTCTAGTTGGTTACTGTGGTGACAAAGATGGTTACAGGATATACATACCTGAAAGAGATCCTGAATTTTTTGATTTTTAAAGAGGAAACTACAAACTCCAGAGAAACAGGAGGAGTTTCTAACCTGAATGAAGTTGTTGAGCCAGTTAGTGAAGAAATGATTCCTGATGAGCCAGATAATGAAGAAATGGTTCCTGAAGAGCCAGTCAGAGGGCTAGTATTGCATGATCGTGCTCAAATTAAACCACCAAGTAGATATAAAGACTTTGCTATGATAGCATACAATGAACCAAGTACTTTCAATGATGCTATACATTGTGAAAATGCTAATGAGTGGAGAAATGCTATGGATAGTGAAATGCAGTCACTTGCAGAAAATGAAACTTGGGAATCAGTTGAGAAACCTGATGATAGAGATATTGTGTCATGTAAATGGGTATATCGTGTTAAAACAAATGCTACTGGAGAAGTAGACAAATTTAAAGTCAGGTTAGTGGCAAAAGGATATAGTCAGAAAGAAGGAGTTGACTATAATGAGACCTTAAGTCCAGTGACAAGGTTTGATACTATTCGTGCCATGATAAGTGTAGCTGCGAAAGAAAATATGACTCTTACTCATTTTGATGTCAAAACAGCATTTTTGTATGAAGAGTTAGAGGAAGCTACATACATGAATCAACCTGAAGGCTATGATGATGGTTCAGGTCGTGTGTGCAAGCTAAAGAAGAGTCTCTATGGTCTCAAACAAGCCCCATGAGTATGGAATAAAACATTCACAGATTTCCTATTGGGACAAGGCTTTACACAAAGTGAAGCAGATCCTTGCTTGTTTACTAACAACAGAAATGGAGAAAAAATTATGATAGCATTGCATGTAGATGATGGGCTGGTGGCTGCAAAACAGGGTGATAGTAAGTTAAATAACTTCCTACAGCATCTACAGGAGGAGTTTTAAATCACATATTCACCAGCCAAATATTTTCTAAGTTTAGAAATTGAACATTTGGATGATGGATCATTTGCTATCAGTCAAGGACACTACATGAACAAAATACTTGAAAAGTTCAAAATGGAAGATTGTAATTGTGTTAGTAATCCAGTTGAATCTGGCTGTGAGCAGTCAGAAGATGAGAGTGATTATCTCACAAATGAGCCCTATCGTGAAGCTGTTGGTAGCTTGAATTATCTTCCTTTGTGTACCAGACCAGATATTGCATATGCAGTGAGTTTAATGTCACAAGTACTGGACAAGCCAACCAAAAGACACTGGAAAATGGTGAAGAGGATCTTCAGATATCTGAAAGGGACTAAAGATATGAAGTTAATATACAGCCGTAAAGTGTCCCAAAGTCTCACTGGATATAGTGATGCAGACTTTGCTGGTGATAAAGATTCCAGAAAGTCACACACTGGTGTAGTGTGTTTACACAATGGAACAGCCATTTCTTGGATTAGTCAGAGACAAAAATGTGTTTCACTCTCAACAACTGAAGCAGAATTTGTAGCTGCAAGTGAAGGAACAAATTAATTAATCTGGTTGAATCGCCTTTATACAGAAATTGCAGATGAAAAAGATATTCCTGTATTATGTGTGGATAACATGAGTGCCATACAGTTGGTGAAAAATCCAGTTTTTCACAAAAGGTCAAAGCATATTGATATTAAGTACTACTTTGTGAGAGACCTGTTTGAAAGTGAGAAACTGAGGGTAGAACATGTAGCAACAAATGAGCAACTGACTGACTCTTTAACAAAACCCCAGGTTAAACAGATGCTGAAAACTTTCTGTGAAAATTTTGTAGCGGTTCTTGCTCATTACATCAGCTACAGGAGCATATCTTGTTTCCGCCTGCCAATAGTTTGCATATCTTGGCATCTTAACCAAAGCCATTCTTATCTGGTTACCAAGGAGTTGCTCAATTTCATCTGTTGTAGTGCATATACTTTTTCCAGATTTTTGAACACTGTATAAATTGCTTTGCTCACACAGATTGTCTGTCATTTCATCATCCCAAAATTCTTTGAAGTACCATAATGGTGTAAGCTCATCAAAATTATCAGGGGGCAAACTAAAGACTCTCCCTGAGAAGGTAGAGTCAACGGCTGGGGGCTTACGATTACCCCCAACGAAAAACATGACTTTTCTTGGCCCTCCTTTTTGCATCGTTAGATTTCACATCACATTCATTCCCTTCTCTGTCAATACAGTTATCTTCAACTTCTTTATCTGCATTCACTTCTTGTGCAGTTTTCTCCAGAATTTTGAATGGAATATGATCTTCATCTGTTGTTTCTATGCACTCAGCCTCAAAGTTTTCAAAATGTTCTTTTTGTTTAACTATCATTTCAGTAATTGTTTCATCTTCTACAACTTTCTCATCTTCTTCCTCATCTTCAAGTTCTGATAGCTCAGAATCAGACCCTGGTGCCATAACATAATTGACAGCCTCAACAACATCATACCTTATCTTCTTACGCACCTCGTATTCCATTTCGTGTCTCTATGAAAAGAAGAAAAGATAAGTAGGATTATCTGTTTTTATACAATTTAGAGCAAAGTTTAACCTCTTTTCAATGAAGCTTTGATCTTCAGTTAATTTTGCACTTGTTGTAGGCTAGTTTTTTTATCTTCTTCGTCAGTCAAAAATACTTTTATTACAAATTTTAATGCAGATCACTGAGCCTTTCTAGATTTTGTTTTAAATGAAAAGCTTTCAATGCCCGAAAATCTACAATAATACAGAAGTCATATACTAAAATATATAGAATTTGGAGCTATGAAGCAATGCTAAAAAATGCCTCTATCTGTTCACTTACTGTCATTGTCTTCAAATCCCCCCCCCCCTCCCCTCCCCCCTTAATATTGATGTTAGATGTAAAAGATATAAAGAATTCTTTTTTAAGACATAAAAAACAAATATCTCTGTTTACTACTGGATATGATGTCGGAAATCTAAAGCTAAAATCTGGCCCGATTCTAACCTTGATTGGCCATAATTGCCATATGGCAACCAAGTTTGTAAGCAAAATACTTCATTTGAAGGCTTCAACACAATCTTGAAAAGGACTGGTCCACGGGTTTTAAACTATTACCTCGTATGAACTCAGTAAAGTAACTAGGAATTGCACCATAAATATTTCTCAAAATATCTACGTGAATTTGAACACCGAAAAATACTGGAAACTTACCCTCTTTCAATGTCTCGCGCTTTTACTTCTGAATCTCAACTTCATGGCAACCGTTTGTATTGAGAAGAGGAGAGTTCAAACATAAAACACGTGCTTGGAAATGTTACCAAAACGAGGACAACCTGTTGTAAATGAGGCAGGAATATTTTGTTGCCATATGGCAACTATGGTCAATAAAGGGTTAAAAATGTCAGTATTTTCCATTAAAAAGCAAAACTTTGTCGTTCGAATTAACATAGTGCAAAAAAATTTTATGCGCGCGCATGCTGACGTCATTTGTATGCCCGCGAAAATTGTGTCGTTCTGTCCCGGATGCGAATGATTTAAAAATATATGAGAAAACAAACTTTGAATTTTAATCTTACCGCTGATTTATTATGGAATAGATAAATTATCTACTTAAGATACATTTATATCATTAAATTAAGGCTTTAAAACCTTATTAATCTCTTCGTTGCCTTCGAAGCTTTACTGCTTCACTAAATTTTAAAGCGTTACCCAATTTTCCGCCATTGAAGGAGACATTATCCAAAAAAATTAACCATTGACTACAAGTATACGAAAATTCAGGATGCGGCATGGATGAAATTTTTCACGATCGTTAATTTAGATATCGAACAAAGCTTCCCACGTTGACCTTGCCAAATTTCGCTTCTGTTTGGTTTCCTACTCTTATTCAAAAATACCAAAGCGATTTCAAAATCGCGTTAAAAAACAGCTACTTACATTCGTGACCAATCTATTTTAATGAAAAACCTCCATGAATATACCGCATATCCCAAAAAGTATGGCGATTTCAAATCATCAGTCAATCGCACCCATAATTTGACAATCCTAAAGTTAGGTATCTTTGCGGTGAAATTATGAACGTGACCCAATTTTGCAAATATGCCGACCAATATAATCTTATTTTTTGGGGCATGAAGATGAATCAATAAAAGAATCAGCGTTAGGCATGGTGCCGTTTTTGAGATAAAATAAATTAAAATTTTCAACTATTTCTCCGTGGAACTGACAATATTTGAGGCAAACTCACATTGTAAAAGTTTGTATATAAAATGAGCCGATCAGGCTTTAAGTTCAATCCGCCATGCTCAGGTCTTTTGTGGTTGTGGTGACACAAAATCCTATAACATTGTACCTCCCAGGAGGCCTGGATCGCAATCAAAGTGTCACATGGTCGATTGGCGGGAAAATTTTGCGCGTCGCCATTTGGCTGCAGCTTGCAGGCACAGAAGCTCTTTGCACAGCGGCTGCGAACATTTTTGCTCTATGTTGTTCGAATTCACAAAATACTGTACATATTCCAAGATTTAAAATCAACAACAAAATTTCAAAATTCGAGTTAAATTTGCCTATTCGGTTAGTATTAGAACAGTATAAAAAATTTCAAAGAATCTTGAAAATGTTTTACAAACTTTTTGATGATTCCTTGCAACTAGTTGAATTTGATACTGAAAAAAATAGCGCAAGGCTGCGAGATGCCATACACCAATTCAACTTAGGGCTTCGTTTTGAAAATTTATCCGAATTTCATTGTACGACTTTTTCAAGCTCAGATGTGGTTTTATCGCCATAATTTTAGGCCGGTTAAAAATTTTCATGCCTTTTTTGCTTGTATTTTAGATTTTACGGAGAAATGTAGTTTGAAAAATACTAAGGGATTTGACCGCAAAAGTCGTTACGGGCGAAAATTCTTGCTCCAAATCCGATCAAAAATTCTGTACAAGAGAATTTAACGAATTTTTCAAAATGAGGCTGCAAGTTGAATTGATGTATAGGTACCAGCAAAGATAACATTCTCAGCAAGGCTCGTTAATGTTGTCTTTTATGCACTTCTATTGTGATACAGAGGCAATCTTATGTCCCAAAGACAGCTTTCCCCTCTCCACAACCTTATAAACTCTTTCAATTCTTTGACACTTGGCAGCCTTTTATAAGTATTTCAGAAAATAGCGTGATCAAAAAAATTACCTGGCTGGTGGAGTGAAGCCCCTGAAGTGCAGTGCACGTCATTAAAGACAATAGGTTCGAAGGAGGATTAAAGAATAAAATAGTAGAAAGTTGGATGAAAATTGAACTCGTCAAACTTCTAAAAAGAAAGTTTCACAGGTCGAAACAGCTATTTTGACATTCAATTTTTCGTTTACACTGTCCAACCTTTGGCAATTCAACTAAACGCGTTCATTTAAGAGCATAGAATATTTCAGCCTGAAGAATAATAAATGAATATTTAGACTCAAAAACCTGATTTGATAAGAATTTTTAAAATAGATGAAACTTGGGCATTTTTATTGAAAGAAACTTTTCTAGCAAATTCAATTCGTGATTCACGTTAGCGTTGTTCCCATCTTGCTCTATCACTTAATAGATGTATATCCTAAATTAGAAAAATCACAAAAGGATTGCTGTCAATAAAGATTAGCCATCACTTTCAGAAAGCAATTATCACCACTATAACGTTTTGTCGTAAAATCATGAAGAACAAAGTTGCAAAATGCATGGCCTAGTCACTCAAGTCCGCTGATTAACCCTTCGCGCCATGTAGCGCCTCTCGTAGAATTTCAACATGTAACTTTTTATTGTTAAGAAAAAGCTTTCTTATGAAAAAAGGCGGGTACATCGATTTCTGAATGTAGAAAAGATGTTGCTTTTTTGAAAGCTGCCAAGAGCAAATTCCCAGGGGGACTTCCACCCCTAAATAGCATTGTTCCGTGAATAAAAACACATGAGAGATGTTCTGAAATTAAAGGCAATGAGGAAACAGAACTATCGATTTTTAAACTGAGTTTTATGAAGAACCAGTGGATATCGTATAAGGGTGAATGGTATACGCAATTTTTTAACGTTTACGAGTAAAGCGTAATATTGGACTTTTCAACATTCTTTGCCTAATCTCAAACTAGTTCTTAAATACACTCTTTTTTCAAGAACAAAATGGCAGTAAATTGAATTTCAAACTGGATTCTTCTTGATTTGCATTGTTTTTAAATTATTAGGATGCAAGCAGTGCAATTGCTAGCTAGTGTGCTCTAGGGGGTGTTCAGGCCTCATTTGTCAACAAAGTGAGTGAGACATCCTTGAAAATTTTGAAGCTCGTGTTCTTCTAAAATTGTTCTGATAAAAGAAAGAATGTATTTGAACATTGTTTTCAAATCAAAAGGTGCCACTTACACACCTTATATGTACACAATAATTGTCAAAATATTAAATCGATATGCGCGTTGTAAAGGTGTTACCTGATAGGTCTCAAACCATGGCCTCTCTTGCTTTCCCCACCATCGGTTAGCTCTAAGTCAGCAAATGAATCGATTAAATTCTCATCCATTGCACCTCGAA